ACCAAAGAAGTATTTTTTATATAAAATTAGATAACGTACATTGTGTATTAACTTTTGTTTGTATGCAATTTTACATGCTAGATAGGTCACACTTGAACTATTCCCACGCATATGTCTAACTTAGATGTACTGCTACCAAATTCATTTCCTTCAGTGAAACACACGATTTGGCAATCTGTCTTTCTAAAAATTTTCGAATGCTGTTATTTACATTTTATAGTATAAAAATGAAAAAGCTTCACCTAGACTAAATAAGAACATACACACAATGTACTGTTGTAGTATAATGCTGAAAAGCATAATATTGTAACTTTTACTATTAATAACTCGAGATATGCACTGCTGCCTTTGCTTCAGGTTTCTGCTAGGCAAAACTCCTAAAACTTTTCCTATTTAGTATATAAGTGCTCTAGATAATTATTTCCCCAGGGTTAGGTTTTGACAATTGTCCACAAAAAAACTATATCTGCTGCTTTTCCTACATCAACAAATTCAAATAATCCAGAAGCTTAGTGGAATACAAACTCATATACTCCTGAAGCATACTAATTCTTCTGTTGTCAGCGATCTTGGTTACGTTGCCATTTTCTTATCCAAGTTGCTAATATAAGTTGCAAAGAAGGGATGCAACACTGAACCAATGTAGAGTTTGAAAAACTTTAAAAAAATAACATTGTTACTTGGAAGACCGGTGATAAAGGACTCCCAAAATATTTCAAAATAAAAAACAATTATCGCAAAAGTTGGCCACTCTTTCCTCTTAATGGAAGGACATACGTACGAAATCGTACTTATCATAGGTCAATAATACGTCGCGCGACCTAGAGTGCAAGTCGCAGTAGTAAGGCTACTGAAACCGTAAGCGGCATGGCCTAAAATGTAGATTACAATTATTTTCTTTTTACATGGAAACTATTATTATTCTTGTTGTTGTTGTTGTTACCGTTATTATTTGGAAGCCATAATCCCGTGGAAACGGACAATGTCATATGCCGTAGACTCTGACACGAAAAGAACGTTAAGAAAATAAAGAAATCTGGGCTGAGTTGAGTATATTTGTTGTCCACTCTTAAGATGTCGACATATTAGAAGTTATATTGACCAGGTGTTCAACTTAAGCTTCACATGTTGTTAGTAGAATGCATTTGCGCTACAACCTCTAGGATGTGGTGAGTCTTGCTGGCCTAGGTGTAGGTGGCTGTGATAAACAGCAGAGCAAGGCACTAGTACCTGCAGTGCCGTCTTCAGGTGCAGCTGACCGCGTTACTCCATCATGAATGCCAGGTACCTTGTACCTGCAGTGCGGCGTTTACTGCAGTGCTGTTAGGACATGAGTGCCAGGCACCTTGCACCTGCAGTTCAGTCCTCAGTAATTAGTAAAATGCTTTGAAACACAATTTATTTTTGCAATTCTTAACCGATGATTATTTAACAAAGCATCAATTATACCATCAGACATCTATGAACAGCTTACAATCAGCTGAAAAACTCATGTCTTTTTGCTTTTAAAATCATTATATTAAAAAAAGTTAACAACACAATAAAATATAAGTCTGTAAATTATTTCACAGTTTGCCAAACTAACCCTGTGTGTTTGAAGAACGGGGGGCAGTGCAAAAGCAGTTGTTCCATCGCCTAATCGCGTGAATTCCCGCGACTGTAATGCTGGTTGTGTGTGTTGTGCCAGGCCCCCCATGCAACATCACTGCCGTGTACGCCCGCTAATGGTTACTGTGTCTTAAGAACAAGAGCAACTGTTTTTAATCGCAGGCTGTAACACGACATCTGTCAAGGAAAACGGATGTGGTTACTAGTTGCATCCCAAAAAAACTGAAGTTTCTCAAATTACACTAGTATTTTAAAATTAAATTTATTAAAATATTTACAATTAAAACTAAACCCACTGAGTCTAAACCAAGATATGAGTAAAGTTCGATACTCATCTCGTAAAAATATAAAAAATACATAAATTAATAAATAAATAAATAAATACATAAATAAATATATATATATATATAATAATAAATATAATATATATATATATATATATATATATATATATATATATATATATATATAAATATATAATAAATATATATTTAGGTGAATTGATGATGTAAAGGGAGCAGTAAGGGAGAAAACGTTAGCATATGAGGAGTTTTTACAAATTAGAAGTGATGCAAGGAGGGAAGAGTAAATGGAGAAAAGAGAGAGGTTAAGAGAGTGTGAAGGCAATGTAAAAAGAGAGCAAATGAGAGAGTGGGTGATATGTTATCACCAAATTTATTTTGAAAATAAGAAAAAGTTTTGGAGCGAGATTAACAAGTTAGAAGCCCTATAGAACAAATGGATTTTGCCAGTTTAAATAGAAGAGGAAAGTTATTAAATGGAAGAGTTAGAGGTAATTGGGTAAGATGGAGGGAATGTTTTTGAGGAATTGTTAAATGTTGATGAAGATAGGGAAGCTGTGATTTCGTGTATAGGGCCAATGAGGAATAACATCTTGTAGAGTGAAGAAGAGCCAGTTGTGAGTGTGGGGAAGTTCGTTATGCATGTAGTAAAATGAAAAGGGGGTAAGGCAGCCGGAATGATGGGATAAAGATAGAATGATAAATAGCAGTGAGGTATAGTTTGGATGGTTGGTGCATATTTAATAAATGTATGGAAGAGGGTAAGGTACCTAGGGATTTGGGCAGAGAGCCCATGCAATAGTCCTATGTATAAAGGCAAAGGGGACAAAAGAGAGTAATACCTGGTAAAGTGTATGGTAGAGTTATTATTGAAAGAATTAAGAGTAAGACGGAGAAATAGGATAGCAGATGAACAAGGAGCATAGAAAGGTAGGGGTGTGTGTGACCAGGTGTTTACAGTGAAACATATAAAGTGAACAGTATTAGATAAGGCTAAAGGTCTTTGTGGCAATTTATGGATTGGAAAAGGCGTATACAGGGTGGATAGGGGGCAATGTGGCAGATGTGGCAGGTGTATGGTATAGGAGGTTGTTACTGAAAGCATTGAAGAGTTTTTTTTACGAGGATAGTGGGCTCAAGTTAGAGGTATGTGAAAGAGGGAAATTATTCCGCAGTAAAAAGTAGGCCTTAGACAAGGATGTGTGAATGGCACCATGGTTGTTTACTATATTTATTAATGGATGTAAGAGAAGTAATTGCCGAGGTCTTTGGCAAAAGGCGTGGAGTTAAAAGATAAAGAATCACACATAAAGTGGGAGTTGTCACAGTTGCTCTTTTGCTTGGGAGATTCTGAAGAGAAGTTGCAGATATTGGTGGATGAATTTGGTAGGTGTCAAAAGAAGAAAATTGAAAGTGAATACAGGAAAGAGTAGGTTATGAGGATATCAAAAAGATTGGTGATGAAAGATTGATATCAATTGGAGGAGAGAGTAGAGGAGGTGAATGTATTCAATACTTGGGAGTGGACGTGTCAGCGTATGGGTATTTGAAAAGATGAGGTAATAATAGAAAATTGATGGAGGGGAAAAGGGTGAGTAGTGCACTTATATTCTGTGGATACAAAGAACTTTGTCCTTGAGGCAAAGAGGGGGAAAGTATGAGAGTATACGATTTACCCAACGCTCTTAAATGGGTGTGAAGCAAGGTGATGTATGTTTGCAGCGAGGATAAGGCTGGAGGCAGTGGAGATGTCATTCTGAGGGCAATTTGTGTTGTGTATATAATGCAGAGAATTCGTAGTATTGGAAGTTAGGAGGCGGTGCGGGATTACCAAACGGTTTGTCCAGGAGGGCTGAGATGAAGGGTTGTTTGAGGTGGTTCGGACATGTAGAGAGAATGTAGCAAAACAGAGATGACATTCAGAGATTATCAGCCTGTAGTGGAAAGGAAGGCGGGGTAGGGGTCGGCCTAGGAAAGTTTGAGGAGGGTAAAGAGGATTTGTGTGCGAGGGTCTTGGACTTCCAGCAGGCATGCGTGAGCGTTTTTGAATAGGAGTGAATGGAGACAAATGGTTTTTTAATACTTGACGTGCTGTTGAAGTATCGTAGTGTGAGCAAAGTTAACATTAATGAAGGTTCAGGGAAACCGCAGGGCCGGACTTGAGTCCTGGAGGATGGGAAGTTGACAGTTGCCTGCACTCTGAAGGATGGTGCTAATGTTTCGAGTTTTAAAAAACTAGTAGTGTATAAGCAACCCTTCTGGCAAGACAGTGATGGAGTGAATGATGGTGTAAGTTTTTCTTTTTCGGGCCACCCTGCCTTGGTGGGAACCGGCCAGTGTTATAAAAAAAAAAAATAATAAACACAGACACCCACACCTTACATACTGTCCAATCCAATTTAACAACATTAGACATACACACCAAATCTAAGACATTCACCTCCAACTAAGACATACACATCTTAACTAAGACATTCACCAAAAACCTATACTTGACATATTGCGGTATGAAATATTCATTACCGCAATTTATGTAGCATATCAACATTTCCTCATCCACATCATCCCCTAAAACATTCCTCCTTATTCTTCCGTATATCTCCTAGAGTTGTTTTAAAAACTCCCGACGGGCCCATCACGACGTAGGAGCCAGAGCAACCATCACCACTCCAACACCACCTACTACACTCTGGCTCCTAATGTCATGATGGGCCGTCGGGGTTAAAACAACTCTAGGAGATATACGGAATGAATAAGGAAGGATGTTTTAGGGATGATGTGGATGAGGAAATGTGATATGCAACATAAATGCAACGCTGCAAGTCTATTATACAGTGCAAAGCAGGATATCCAGCCTTTCTCCCTCATGTAGCTGCTAGCTCATTTTTATAGCTAACTAAATAAATTTACTTCAGTAACATGGCTTGATAGTTTGTTCCACTCACCTTCAATTGTAGACTTCATTAAAAATAAAAAGGTGGAAACTTTTTTTGAAGTGTGTTTTCGTATATTTCAATTAAGAACACACAGATATACATTAATAAAGCTTATTAATACATATAATAACAGTCTGTAAATTTTACACAGTATGTCAAAATACCACATCGTGTTCGGTGTACCAGGGAGGTCATTGCAACACAAGATGTAATTCGAATGAGACCTCAATTCCTGGATATTGTGCTGCCAACTGCACATGTTGCGCCAAGCCATGCAACCAGACAAACAGCTGTACTGCAGTTAAAGGCTTCTGTATTTACACCACTAGGTGTTTGGGCAGGAAAATGTTGGGACTCTGTCAAGGCAATGGATGCGTCTGTTGCATCCCAAACTGTAAGTTGACTTAGTTCTCCAAAGATACTCATTTATTTTCTTGAATATTGGTTATTACGAAGAGTAAATACAAAAAAGTAGCGTCTAGAAAAAAATTCTCTGTTTAGTCATAACTTTTAAAAGCATATATTGCAGTGTAATTTTTTTTAAATATTAAATATTATCTATATCTTGCAACAGCAATGACACTACCACCACCATAAGCAACAGCAAATCAAGTAACATGAACAACAGAAGCACCAAGATGTGAAAAAGCTACATCACAACTTCCAATAATAGCAACATGGACAGCAAAACTTTCCCGACCATCGAGAGCAGCACAGGTATTAACCAAGAAAATTGCCATCCCACCAATTAAAACCCCCCAAAAAAAAGTATCACTCTCACAAACAATAACAGCAGCGGCAGCAGCAACACTACTGAATTTCACTACTATCACCAACAGTCATCATGACTAAAACAAGAAGAAAAACGCCAACAACAGCCGCAAAGTTTCACCGCCAAAAAAAAAAAAAAAAAAAAAAATTGGCAACAACGGCACTAATTAAAATTTACTAATTATAACATAATCACCTCCAACAACAGCAACTTATAAAACAAAAGTCACAACTATCAACAACTACTAACGAAATAACAGGTACACAACAGCACCATAACCACCACCACCAACTGCGTAACAGCTTCACACCCACCACCACCCCTAAGAGCAATATAACAGACAACACCAGCACCCGCAGCAGCATAATAGGCTCACTATCACTACCAACAACATACTAGCTTCACCATAAGTAGCAATATAACAGCCTCATCACAACCGTCAAAAGGGGCAGAGCAAGCTTTATGACAACGTTTCGTTCTGTACAGACGTATAACAAGACAATGGACTTGATATAGCTGTAAACAGAGCGTACCGGTGTCACAATGTAGCTTTATTTAAATCAATAACAACATAGCATTGCCTCGCCAGCAACATTAAAGTCACAACACAACCAACAAAGTGTCGCTACAACCACCACCAGAATAACAGTCACGACTACCATCAAAATGACAAAGTGTCACCACCAACCTTTTTCACTAATACCAGAACCTCTGCACCACCAACTGCACCACGGGCAAGACTCATGACAAAGATTTCATATCAATAAAAGGTCTGTCTTGTTAGCAACAAAATATCCATAAAATGTAGCCAAGTTTTATCACTTACGAAGAACAAAAATGACATTGCATTTACGCATCATAAATTACTTTTCATATAATTAAAGCAGCAAACACTGAAATAAACACCATAATATAAATTTGTATTTCGGTTATTAGATTTAATGCTTATCGAGCATATAGGCCTCATTAAAGTTTGAATCCATGTATACACTTTAATATAATAACCAAAATAAGAATCAAAAACAAAATCGCAGAAATGCCAACAACTTGGTGTATATAGCCTAGTTAATAGTAATGATGCTGGAATTTTGTCTGTCAGGTGAATTTGTCCTGACGTAGATCTTGAGTGATGTGATGAGTGGAACTTTCGGTCCTTTAATTTACAGAAACCCTCAGAAGAGTTACGCATTCACACACAAAAAAACTGAAGATTACATCTTTGGATTAGATGATAGGTTTTCCACTCCATGGAGAAAAAAACCTAGATCACTACTCAAAGCTCGAAGTAAATAAATTCATTAAATGAACACTGATCTTTTGATGACGACCCTGACCTGAATATCTTTAATTGTTTATAGACCACTAGAATAAGACGAGCGCACACACTGACAGATAGCCCTGGTAAAATATTAATCACAGAATGACAATAATATACACTTTCTTAAAACTATACACATACCTGATATCTTTATATAATGAATTATATAAAGATATCACGAATTATTAATTCGTTAAGTTCGTAACTAGAATACAAATCATTTGATGATAAAACGCTTGCAATGTCTACTCGATTCATATGAAAAGGAAAGTCGTGTTTTAAAACTTATTATAATTTCAAAAATTGCAAATAAGATTTTATGATAGAGTATGAACTTAAAAATAATGTAACAAGAATGAGAGAAATCACACCAGACCTTCATCCATCTCTTATATTTTTGGTTTACCATGTATGTATTTCCATTATACGAGCTATCAAAAAAAAAAAAAAATTGAAAGTGGAGAAAGGAAAGCAATATGGATAGGATTTAAAATATAAAATTATTTAACTATGAAAATGTTTGGGGATTCCTAATTAATGAAGTTATAATAGTAGTAACTTAGAACATGAATTAAACATTCCTAACTCATGGTTTAATCATATAATTTTTACCAGTATAATTAAACATCGTCAGAATGTCGTTCACAATCTATTTAGTGTGATTTTTATTTGACTTGTATGAGATATATATTATATACATGTATAACCAAGGTATGATTTATTCTACAGAGTTTGTTTTACAGCACTAATATGCACATATAATAAAGCTAATAAGTGCACTTTAAAGTTTGTTTTTGTGATCAGCACAATAAACATAAATGGAATAATTAAATGCATGTCGCTGATTTGATCGTTTTATCGATCCCAGAAATTAGGAAATAAATACTTGGCATATATATATATATATATATTATATATATATATATATTTATATATATATATATATATATATATATATATATATATATATATATATATATATATATATATATTACATACACACCCCTGTAACGGTAACACAGTTCCTATTGGCTGATACAACCCTGTCACAGAAATGCTGGGAGACTTAGGTCTCAGACACTCCCTAGACAGGGAGCCAAGGCCGAGCCACCACTTGGAAAAGGCCCGGGCCGGGAGAATACCGGTGAATCTTTAATAATAATAATAATACTGGTCTTAAAATCGTCCTATTAGAACCCTGTGGATATTCATCCACAGGGTTCTAATAGGACGATAACAGCACTGCGCCTACTACCTAATGGACCATGGTCAGAGTCCCCTGCCATTCTATTTATCAAGTCATTTATTATGATTTATCTTGGGTTTACAGATTTAGTTTTGAGAGATATGTGAATAAATGTACCATGAAAGTTTCTGGGGCTGTGGGGTGAGATAGTAGATCGGGGGAAATCACAAGGAAGCATATATAAAATATTCACACTTGGCTTCGGCCATGGCTAAGACTTTGAGTTGAAGGGGAGGCAGTATACCGCCAGCCCATTATGCTCTACATTTATAATAACTTAACAGATTGTATCTATTCGTTAAACTTATACCTGTACCACAATGACTCGTTATAACATCAATAAGACGAGTTTCTAACACGAAAATTTATCGTAAACAATCCTGGTGAGGGGCTCTAGGGAATTAGATTGTGCTCGAGTTCCTTGAATCAAGCCTGAATATCTTACATAACCCCAGGCGTTGTATATCTACGGGCTTAGCGCTCCCCAAGAATATAATAATGCTATTAATAATAGTAATCCCTCCAAGCAGAGGGGGACCTCGCTGTTAACATTTATCAGGAGAGACAAAAACACTAGCCCAACTAATAGAGTAATTAATTATGGTACATTTTAGATTACTAAAAAATAATGTAGACAACACATCGCTTGTTCCTCTCTATGAAGCTGTATGTCAAAGCACAAATATTTTAACTTGTAACCAAATACCACAGTATATTCATATCTGCCTTTCTGTATTTACTGTCTTGGGATGCTACTTACTGTATTACAGAGTAAAATATCATCTATTCATCTAACAGTGTCCCATGTTCCAATATCCTATTGTCGGAATATTGTCTAAATCAAGCTAAATGTGAGGTTAAAGGACTCTTCCAATAGACCTAGTTAAAAAGAACCCTCTACTAGCAGCAGTTATAAAATTAACCTTAATGACAAAAAATGAAAGCTAGAAACAAAAAACGTAACTGCTCTATGATCCAACTTATAAATAAGAATAATACAAATAGTAACTATAGCATTCAGCAACCAGATTGACATACATAATAAAGGTAGACTGATCTAGTTCTCAATAAGGTTACAAATGTCCTCAAGGCATTATAGATTCTTCCTATAGCCTGGCTGGCTAAGTGGTTGGAGGATCAAGCCTCCAAAACGCCTTGCGCTAATTACCCACACTGCTTTAGCTCTTCACAAAGAAATTTCAAAGCATTATGAAACCAGGACTGTCCTGACTGCTACGGATTCAAGTGTTGCGGCCCAAAGAATAAGTTCATAATAATTCAAAATGTTTCTTCACTTAGTTCCTGAAACACTGACAACTGCAGAATATGCTTATATATTTATTATATGCAGCATTTAGAATTTCAGTATTTAGATCAGGGTTCCCAAAGTGATCAATATAGATCCCTAAGGGTCAGTGGATTTATCGAAGGAGTCGATAAATGATAGGTGTCAAAAGGGGGGTTAGTATATGGATGAAGCTGGTTTTAACCATGCAAATGCATTTCTAACTAGGCAGAGGTACAGACTGGACCTGGAAGAGCGTGGTGACTTACCACTAAAACTCACCAATCACCAACCAAATACAGTGCTCTTGTTGACGCTCATCAGATGCATCCTTCCCATTAATGATACCAACAGTTTCATTAAAAATATGTATGTTAAATCTTATACTTTTATAATTTAAATATTACCTATTTTTTATGAAATTATTATTATTTATTATTATTATTCGTAGCACTACTAGTTAAAGTACTATTTATTAAATTATTTTCATATAATAAATGTTTGGGGGTCGATGAGCTGAAGAGTTTGTGGACTCCTGGTTTAGATGCATAAATTTTATAGGCCAACATGAATATATTTACTATATATCGTGTACTTCCTGAATCAACAACAACAACCCTGCTAATGCCAACAACAATAACGCAAATAAAGAAAATAAAAGTAGGCCTCAACATCGCTGCCAATAACATTCACTTCGACAACAAAACTACCACGATGTAGGAAAACTAAAAAGTAATAATAAAGAATGTCACCTAATCAATATAAACAACAAAAGTTTAATTTTCACAAACAATAACCATAGAACAAAAGCGTCACAGCTTCCATCAGCAAAAACAAAGCAAAAGTCAAGAGCAAAAACTACAGGAACATAAACACTTAAAATCACTAATCATCAACAGTCACGGCCACCATCAACGTAAACAGTGGCAAAGAAACGTACCGAAGTGGACTATCAACTTTAACACAGGAACCTTTAACAACCATAACATAAAAAGTCACGACAATCACCTCATTAATTATTGTTATCATATACAGGTGGGAAGTGTTAAACCCATTGTGGTTATACAACACCTGGAAAATATTATTATTAACATGGGGAGCGCTAAACCCATAGGGATTATACAGCACCTGTGCGGGGGGGGGGGAGGCATTCAGGCTCAATTCAGGGAACTGGAATACAGATCCAATTCCCTAGCGTCAATTCACCAGCGTCAAGCAACCTTCCTTGAGGGAAACACCTGGAAAATGGGTTATGATCAGAAAGTAATCAGTGGTAATCGGTAGACTATTTGCAGTGGACAAAAAAAAAAAAAAAAAAAAAAAAAAAAAAACACTTGAGTACTTCACTCACACCTAAGCCCAGGCCATGACACCCCACATGTGACATCACTCACTCTACCATATCTGCTCTGTGCACTTAAAAAGCGCAGGGTTGGATGAAACGTGTACAGATAACGACTCTTTTTATTTGTGTCTCTTACAACTGTCCCCTCAAGGAAAGCTCCTTGATGTTGGTGAGGGGCTCTTGATTTAGGGAATTGGATCTGTGCTCCAGTTCCCCGAATTAAGCCTGAATGCCTTCCACATCCCCCCCCAGGCGCTGTATAATCCTCCGGGTTTAGCGCTTCCCCCTTGATTATAATAATAATAATTTAACAACTGTCAGAACATTGTCATCGTTTTTACAATTATGAATCCACTAGCCTACCAAGCTAGGTTACCTACCCCCATTTGAAAAACTAAAGACTCACTGCCTAGTAGTCTCAAGATGAATAGTAATAGCGTCTACGCCTTCATTTTCTGACTGCTGTCCTTAAGCCTGAAGAAGCAGGAATAAAGGTTCTTTTAATTATTGTGTTTGGACAAATATTAACAACTACGTACTAACACTGGCGTCCTGATAACGACCCTGGCTTGAATATCTTCAACTGAGAATAAATCAGCTAGAATACGACGAAGGCTCACATCTTCGGATGATAAATCATCCATATTAAAGTTGAAATTATATGCACACAATCTCTACAAACACACAATTACTACTACGAAATTTCTCACTTTATACACAAATAACCCGCACATAGAAGAGAGGAGCTTACGACGACGTTTCGGTCCGACTTGGACCATTTACAAAGTCACACTAAAGAAAAGGAGAGCAGGATCGGTATATCCTGTTCTCCTTTCCGTTAGTGTGACTTTGTAAATGGTCCAAGTCGGACCAAAACGTCGGCGTAAGCTCCTCTCTCTATGTGCGGGTTATTTGTGTATTGTTCCAGTCACGGTACTGTGCCTTATTTTGTTATTTCTCAGTTTATGCTTTAATGTATAACAAATGTTGAAATAAACTTCACATCAGTTAAATCATGATGGTATACAATACCAGTAAGTTAATGAACAGGACATGTGCAACACTTGGATACCTTCTCCAGTCGAATACAGGTGAATATAAAACGGGAGACAGTAGTAGTTTTGTCGCAGTCAGTCCGTCAGGCTGGTAAGAGGTGGTCAGTTCCATAAGCCTAAAGCTTATGGAACATGCGGCCAGATCTTGTATACTAGAACAGAAGTGAAGTGAAGCAGCTGCAGTTGACGTCACGAGTGAGCGTGGCTCACTAGTGGAAGTAGGTCATGCTAAACAGTTGATTAGTACATGAGTTGCGGAAGACTTCTCCTGTATCAAAATGTCATTTCCTTAGCTAATCAACAGTTTAGTATGGCCTACTTCCACTTGACGTCAAATTTAGCTGCTTCACTTTACTTCTGCTCTAATACATATGGTCTGCTCGCATTCCTGTACTTTAGCCTTAAGGTATTGACCACTGCTTACGCCAAAACCACTATTACTGTGGAAAATACTGTATATTCTCCAAAAATACAGTATTTTGTATGTAAATTGATGGAATATATTGTAGGTAATAAAAATTAATTTGTAAATAAATAAAGAACCAGCGAGGGTGAGCGTCGCTGGGGAATGTGGTACAGACACGCTAATGT